GCCAGGCCGCGGGGACGTCCCCAAGCGCCGTTCCGCTCCAAGCCGGTGCCCGCTCTGCGGGAATTCAGGACTGAGGGGAGAACAGCACCAGAAGGCAGCACTCCTTTAAGAAACACTGTTGACATTCAGAGGTTCAGACGACCTCTGCGACAGCACTTCTGATTATACATGTTGATTTATGCCATTGGCATGAGCTGAACTTTGCCGAAAATAAACTTGCCAAAAACTGTTTGTTTCTTTTCTAAAGAATACTAAGGCTTTGGGGGTTTTGCTGCAGAACCAGTTGTGGGTTAATATATACAATATCAGCATTCAAAAGAAAGAAATCAAGAAATCCAATGTTTTTAATCACCCTCTGGATTTAAGTACATTATTATGATTTAATTCAGTTCTAAGGTGAAGGGGGAAAAGCAGCACAGGAATTCCTGCCACAGAAAGGCATTATTGCTATCTAAAATCTAATGCAATTAGTGGAGCAGGATTCAGCTACTGAAGGGAAAAAGGAGGCAAATCAAGAGTCAATTGAGTTGTGCAGAATTTAATATCTGGCTGTCATCTTTGTTCTTAGCGCCGAGTTGCTGTAGCAACAGACCAAAAAAAGAACTTGCACTAGAGGAGGAGCTCGCTGCTCTTTTAACAACGTCTTTTTATCCTCCCTGAGTTACTGTTTATGAACAATCAATCAGATCCAGCACTATCAATGGCTGCAGATACGAGGCCAGATCCCGCAGATATTAAGCCTATCATACAAAGAGCTGTATGTTTGCAGCTCCCATCTGCAGGTTATATGATAGCAATTTTCTTTTGTACAAGGCAGCCCATATTTATCACATGAAAGATGCAGCTATTTCCTGATCCATTTACATCACGGCTGGCTCTACACCTTGCAGATTAGCACTGCTGGTGACTATGCATCCTATAAATAAAAAGCAGTTTTTCCTACCGCTTTCTCTGCAGCTGATGCAGACAGCAGAGCGGCTCAGGAAGAGAGGACATGGGAAAGCAGACAGCATTCCCAGGCTCATTCCATAAAGCAAGCCTTCAAACCGGGAGTCCGACTGCGCTCAGAGAAACGCTCTAACATGTCGTGCTTCTTCTTCCTCTTCTATTTTAGTTGTTGTTGGTACAACAGGACGCACCCCCGGCCTACGCGACGCTCCCTGTTCAGCTGACAGGCTGCCGGGTGTCCTGACGGGCGCTGCAGCGAGGGCCGCGGCAGCCCCTGCCCGCGTCGGCCGCGCTTCCGTGCGGACCCAGCGGCACTGCAGACCCGCTGCCGCCTGCGGCCGTGGGACAACAACGTACCGGGCTGCAGGGGCCCCTCGAGCCCCTCTTGGTGGCCGTGGCCCTCTCATGGCCGGCACCTCCCGGCAGGAGCAGGAGAGGCCGGGGAAGGGCGGCCGCGCCGCTGGCCCTGGTGCTCCGCGCTCCGCCGTCGCACGTCGCTAGAAGCGACTCCAACACTCAGGCAGGAAAAGAGAAAGGGGACAAAAGATATTTCGTTGCAAAGCAGTAAGCTGAACACGGTAGGAGAAAAGCTACCAGGTAAAAAAATACTAGGAAAACCCCCCAATCACTGGGGAGTTTTAGTGCCTATGTTTTTCAGTCCTGCGTTCCAGAAAAGGACAGAGCTGTATCTGGCTTTAGCAGCTCCTCTCCTTTCTGCCAGGCTAAGGAAAACAGTGCCGGGAGACACAGTCCCTGTCACAGCTGCTCTACCCGTTTCCTTGGGCCCTGGCGCCCTTCCCATGTCCCCTTCCGCTCCCGCTCCAGGTCCTTCTTGCTGCTGCTCCGCTGCCAGCGCTGGCATCCCGCCCCGGCAGAGCCGAGGGCAGCGGAGCCGCCTCGAGGCTCCCCACCGC